TATATATATATATATATATATAATATGTATATATAATATGTAGCTGCAAGAATCTAAGTAAACTTACCTTCTCCCTCGCCCAACACCACAGCTTTGACATACACGGCAGACGCTTCCTCCATTGCCTGGCACACCGCTGGCAGCAATGTATTAAGCAGCAACGCACTACAGGTCTTGGCATGCTGTATAGCTAACCTACCCGCACACGATATTGCCGCACGTCTCAACTTGTACGTGTACATAGGGGGTGTCGTTGGGGTTATGAACTGGGCGAGTAAGGGTGTGATCTGCTCTATTGCCGCTGTGACCAGGTGATACTGCTCCGTGGCTCCGGCGAGATCGAAGATGGTGCTCAGGATGTCAACGGTCATGGCGTGGATGTGTTGATCCTGTGCATGAGTAAGATACAGATGGTGTGGGCGGGGAATGTTAGAGAGCTGTGTTGCATGTCTCTAACACAGTAACGATGTGATTACCTGGAGTGGAGGATTAAAACGGCAAGTTAGTGTTTTCATTGTGACTAGGTGAGAAGCTGTTCCGTGATTTCCCGCGGGATCAATGACGGCGCACGGATATCCAACATACAGAGAGATTTCGAACCAGGCTATTCGGTACTTTCAGCAATTGTATCCATCTATGCAACGCATACGGAGCCTATGATACTTCAGCATCAATATATGCATTCCAAATTCTAATATGTAGTCATACTTTACATGAAACACGCAGCAATGGCTGACAAGGACAAGAGGGCAGACAAACCTAACAACAAAGTCTCAAAATATTCATTAACAACGCAGCATATGCGGCCATTACAGGTAGTGACAGGGTGGACAGAGTGATATCGATGTCTCAACGAGAATACAAGTAGCATTCGTACATCTCGGAATACCTTCAGAAGACGCTTGTAGCAGATACTGGCAGCAAAAGAAGCTTAGTGGGTAGAGGGAGACTGAGAGGCGAGTAAAAGCAAGCTGATTATCATAACCAGCGAGCCCAGATACATAATTTCCTTAGCTGTTACTGATTGCGACAACGGAGCCAAATAGCGCTGTAGGTAGTTTTGGCCACCAACATATAGCCCAACCTTTAAATCACGCTTTGTTCAAAAACAACCCAGCGCACTCTGTTACCTTGGTGACTGGCAGTGACAGGAGGGCAAACAGACTGGGCAGTAGAGCTTCAATCAGCTGTGGCAGATATACTGCGTCAAAGTCGTTCACTAGTTCGTCCAGCACTCGCACGGCACCATCGCATGCGGGGCCTAATTCACTACCGGTCACACCACTGTTTGAAGATGGCATGTGCACATATGTATGGGTAAATAACAAATGGCACCGCATGTTTGCGTAGGTACACGCGTCGGAAAATGTGGTCAAATGAATGACATACGTGAGAGATTTCTAAAGATACATATGTGATACTGACACACGTCACACATCGGGCTTATAAAATAACTCGTGATCTTCATCTATATATGTACTGCATAATACACTCGTAATCAGTGTGGCATAAACACACATGTGAGTAAGTAAGCTGCAGTAAAGATGCACATCTTCAAATATCTATACGCAGTGGATGTGACCCATGCGGACAAAATACGTGGCCTTGTGTTGTGCTATTTATAGCACACTGTACACCGAACTCCCATCAATAGCAATACAACTCTCAACCCTGTATTGATACCCAAACACCCACACCATACCATACCTGTTGAGGGTTGTTAGGATGGCGGGTACTAGCGTGGGCCAGTGCTCAGGCCAGTCGTGAGAGGCGATCTTAGATGTGGTGTATGCGACTGCTGTGCGTACAGACTTGTCGTGATCCGATAGTCCAGTGGGTAGTGAGGCGCGCACCAACTGTTTGACCTCGGCCGAGCACTCGGGGCCTACATATCCAACGCCATTTCACGATACATATGATTTGAATGGCGCATTCCACGATACAGGGTGAATAGAATTGTCTTGTTGGAGACTCCATCCAAGTTGGCAAAGAAACAAACATCACAACGAGAACATATACGAAACGAGATACATATTGTAGACTGTTAGAATCGACCAAACTTGCCCGGGCGAGATTCGCTGAAGTGGATCAGTGAATTACATATATGGAACGCTTGGGATGACTAATGTATGTCAAATGCTTTGGGTTTGCATTTTTAGGCACAATACAAATAAAAAAGGGAACTGAAATATTGTAATCATTTGAGGTCATTTGAACACTCTGGACCCATTCAGCCATACCTATTGCGAGCCATATCTATTGCAACCATTCAGAATCACAATGCAATTAGAATATCGAACCTAAGAAACCAACATATGTCTGCCAACCACACATAACCGAGGAGCGAGGACAGTCTATTGTTTGGCACGTTCTCTCAAAAATGTATCAGTCGCCTAAAGCGACGAGACGAGTCCAAAAACGTAGTGACAAAGCACAGTAACGAAACAACTATATAATAGTATGGTGTACATACATGAAGAAAAACGCATGCACATAGGCACCCACAAAGCAGCTAAAGCGATATACTACAGAAAATCAGTAGTCTACCTTTAAAAGTATCATCATCGCTAGACCAGTGTTCCTTGATAAACTTCTTCAGCGCCATGCAGGCTAGTTGTCTTGTCTGCGGCTTGATGCCTGTATGTACACACCCACGCACTAATACCACGGCATACTCCTCCATAGTCTCTAGCTGTGCCATTCGGCTCTCCGCCTGATGTCGCGTGGCCTCATCGTTTACTAGAGAACCAAAAAGGCACGCCTCCAGATCAGCCCATAACTGCTCTGCGGTCAAAGCCATGACGTTTGCTGCAGATGCAATATATACCTACTAAAATTAAATAGGTAGTTCGGTACTTCAAATTTTGAGGCGGAAAAGGGGCGGTGGGTTGATCAATATGTAAAATCTACATTTATACACATATACAAGCATTTATGAAATGGAAGTATCTAAATTATATATGAAATTACTATATATATACATATATATATATATATATATATATATGTGTATATATATATATATATGTATATATATATATATATATATGTGTGTGTGTATATATATATATATATATATATATATATATATATATATATATACTATATATATATATATATATATATGTGTGTGTGTGTGTGTGTGTGTGTGTGTGTGTGTGTGTGTGTGTGTGTG